GTGAGGACATGCCGGGACTGTCAGCGATGCAAGACACCGCCGACAAGGCCAGCGGGACTTCTGTAGCCAATTGATCCACCTTGCCGACCTTTCCAGCAGATTGGTATGGACCTACTGGGGCCGTTCCCGACGTCGGCTTTCGGAAACAAGTGGATCGTGGTAGCTACCGACTACCTCACCCGCTACTCAGAGACAAAATCCCTGCCAAAAGGCACTGCATCCGAGGTAGCTAAGTTCTTCGTCGAAAATATCGTCCTACGTCCCGGCGCCCCGGAGGTCCTTATCACCGACAGAGGAACGGCATTCACTGCCGACTTAACTCAAGCGATCTTGGCATACAGCCAAACAAACCACCGCCGGACGACAGCGTACCGCCCACAGACCAACGGCCTCACCGAGCGGCTTAACAAGACGATCGCCGACATGCTGTCAATGTACGTCGATGTCGAACACAAGACGTGGGACACCATTCTTCCGTATGTGACCTTCGCATACAACACGGCGGTGCAGGAGACGACGCAGATATCTCCATACAAACTGGTCTACGGAAGGAGCCCGGCAACGACGCTCGATGCCATGTTACCCAACGTCACCGACGAAGAAAACCTCGATGTGAGCGAGTACCTTCAACGCGCCGAGGAAGCCCGACAACTTGCGCATCTTCGTATCAAGAATCAACAGACGACCGACAGCCACCGTTGCAACCTTCGACGACGCTTCGTGGAATACCAGCCCGGTGAACGTGTTTGGGTGTGGACGCCGATACGCCGACGTGGACTAAGTGAAAAGCTTCTGCGACGGTACTTCGGACCGTAGAAAGTGGTTCGCCGTCTCGGCCCACTTGATTACGAGGTTGTCCCCGACGGCATCACGAACTCTCAACGACGCCGATCGCGACCTGAAGTCGTCCATGTCGCGCGCCTCAAGCCGTTTCATGCACGTTAACAAACTGAAACAGTGTTTTTTTGTATTATTGTTGTATTGTAATTTATTCATTGTACTTTCTTGCATTATTATTGTACCTTCATCTTTAGTTAAAGCATCGGGACGATGCGTTTTTCAGAGGGGGGCAATGCCACGTTCCATTTCACAAGTTTTTGTTATCGTTCCGAAACACCACACGATTCTCGGCGCAAACCGCGCCTGCAGGTTTCGAGAAGGTTCCGGACTGTAGTAGATCGATTCGATAAGGTCACGCCCACTGTGCGAACGGTACGGATTGTTCTGCAACCTACGCCACCGCCAGCGATAACGCTAGAACATTCGACGGCAAGGGTATAAATGCCGACGCGCTTCGCCGCTTGTCAGTTGTTGATCGAAGGCCGACGCTGCGTTCGCCGCTATCAGTCCGAGACTGCTATCTGTGCAAGACTGCTGCTGTAATTAGACTTTCCCTTTACCTGGCACAGGTTAAATAAACAGTTAAATCCCAACACGAAGTATTCCGTCTTTGGCCGCGTCACGACCCCGTCACAATACTGTTGACGTCAGAGCCGAGTCGTCTACGTAGAGGACCAACGTCATTGCATTGCCGTGTACGTAGGGCCATTCATACGCCCACGTCATGCCCTCACTCTCTAGGCGTGCGCCAGCAGAGGGGAGGTCGAGCAGCGTTCATCTTGGAATTTGACCCATTTCCGCAGCACGGAGCGTTGCAAATTTTGGCAGACGTGATCAGGAACGCCTCGTCTACGCATTGCGTTTGTCAGCTCAAAATTGTCAAACCTGGTGAGAGGCCCTTTAAGAAACTGTGCCCACACAGAAAGAAACACATGCTTCATGACAGAGTGACATTAGTTCACGCGAGTACAATGAAAACTTTCTGACACGTCTAAGCCTTCTGAAGTTATATCAACAACGACAACCGTGAAAAATTCTTTACATAAGGCAATGGTATTTGCAACTTTAGCGTGCTTTAAGCTAAGCATGCTCACTATGTCTCCACACAAGGTTTATTCCAAAAAATGTGGAGTGGCACATCGCAATGACAAACCCTTGACCGACCTAGTCGTTCTTGCTGGGTAAGCCGCTCCAAAAGATAACCAGTGAACCGGCGTCGAAGGCAAGTTCTCGCGCAGCTAATCCTCTTGTGACAGTTTTTGTAAACAGAAAACTGGAAAAGAAGACAGCCTATATGTCTTAAGCCTTCCCACACAAATAACCGTGACAGCTTGTCGGCACACCGCTTTTTACTCTTTGCACGGCGACAAAAAGTTATTGCGCAGCTAATCTTCTTGTGACGATTTTTGTAAACAGAAAACTGGAAAAGAAGACAGCCTATATGTCTTGAGCCTTCCCACACAAATAACCGTGACAGCTTGTCGGCACACCACTTTTTTCTCTTTGTTCGGCGACAAAAAGCGTACGCATCAACGAAAAACAGCAGAAACTGCGGTAGACACGACGGCTTTTGCCTACCACGCGGAATTAAGTGCCCGGCGACAGCGCCACCGCATTTTGGTGACGTATGTCTAGGGGAATTCGTCTATAGCCACTATAGCTTCTATGTGATTCTTCAATGACGCTCGCTCTCGAATAGAACGTTCTTACTGTTCGTGGTAGCGGTTTGCGACAACGAAGTTTCCCATCGTCAAAGCCCTAAAGACGTCTCGCAGTCATCGTCGTTGGGCCACGTCTGTTTGAAGATCGACTTGTCTTCAATTGTGACCCAGTCGTCGTGGGTTCCGGCAGCATAGGCCTACCCGGCAACGTCGAACTCCAGGGATTACCAAGTGCATGCCAGCCATCTTGTGAAGGTGTAGAGCAGCAGGTACCCCAAGAACTGCTGTTGCAAGGTGACACTGGCCTGGAGAGCATCTCTCGCTGTCTAATAAGATTGCTGGCTGCTCTCCGGCACCCTAATGCCACCACCTTCAGATTCACACTAACTGAGCCTTACCAAAGAGAGTGACGCTGTTTTTGAAACCTTCCTCGTTCAGCACCCTACAGGACTATGCCACCTCAGCTTCTAAATGTTTTCCCACAGCTCGGGCCGTATGCCACGCGCTTTCCCCCAACCAATCTCGTACAAGAACATGGCACATATGCGCACCATCGTTGCATCTTTTACTCAATGACTGTTCCCAACCACATGGTTGAAGCCTTGATTTTATAAAGCAGTGCTCAGAAAGGGTGGGGAGCAATGCTGTAGTGGCTGAGAGCAAGCTGCAATGTACATGTAAGATGAACAAACGAGCATTCCCACAAAATGGCTCACCATCTCCAATAAGCAAATCGAAGCCTCCTGCAAGGTCAAGACTGCGTTGCATACCCAAGGCACAGCACCCTGCAGTGTGTGATGTTGAGTGTTTCTGACACAACCGCTGATGGAATCTGGTGTCCAACTTTGTCCATCTCGATGAAGCCTACTTGTGGCCACTACAATTGTATCTGTAAAGCTGAAACCACAAACCTTTGTTCGCACATCATATTCACCTAGAAGATGACTGTGTGCTTATGGTGATACAACCATGTTTTCACTATTCTAAATGTGTCTCAACATACATTATACACTTTTATGCTAAGCTCACATTTGTACCAGCAAGCTCCCATCCCCATAGCACATCTAATGCAACATATTCCACAATTTTTTTGTAATAGCTAAATGAAACTGGTAAAACATCTTTTCGCAATGACAAGCATTGGCACAGCTCAAATTAAACATTCAAGTACTACAAATGGGGCAGATCTCTATTAAGCATTGGCAGCATGTCTGGGGGCTCTTACCACTGAAATACACAGTTAATAAAATAGCTTTCCACACTTGCTGAAAGAAAATGGCGTCCTACAACCAACAGGTAATCTCCCATGAAATAAATTCTGCCAAATGAAATATGCCAGAATTTATCGAACTAGTCTTAACCAGGATTAACCATACCTATTAATAGCAGAAAATGAACTACTCATTATCAATATAATACCAGGATTAATTACTACACGAGATGAACTGATACTTATATCGTGATGCATATGAATTTCAGGTGCACAACTTTTTTTTTTTTTGGAACATTACCCGCAGCGCCACCTTAGGCATTATTGCGGGGAGCCTTATGCCCACTTCACACTGAAACATCCGCTTTCTACAGCGACCGAAATTCCCCTGCCGCCGAAACACGGCGTCGTTCGCACTGGACGTGCCCTGCGCCGCCGAATATGCCCTCTACTATGGGGCGAACGCGGGATGGATGCGCTGTCACCCGGTTGTTGTCGCGGCTCGCAAACGCTACTACGCTATCCAGTGGTGTATACTTCGACGATTCTCGTACGCAAGAAGCAAGAAAAGACAGTACTGCTCACTTTGCTGGCAAGTGGCTGTCTTGTAATGCACGAAGAGCAGAGAAACAACCGACGCCAGCGGCGTTGGTGGGTTCGTTTTGCTCTGCCAGACCGCAACAAGCTCGGTCACGCCAACAGCAAGCTCGGTCACCTCTTTCACGAAATACGGAGGTGAAGTAGGCACAGAGTAGGTTAAACTCCCGTTGGTTTCAACATTCAGTTACGTGCACTGCAGCATAACAAGTGAGTAGGGCTTGGCCGCCATTTTTCGAAATTCCTTGACTGGCGCTCCTATTGGTCCGCGGTGACCGATTCGGCGGCAGACGCCGCAAAAATCGGTCCGAGAGCGATCGGCGCGGAAAAGGCCCTTGGCGGATCTCGCCGCCGCCAAACCGGATTCGGAGCACTTTCGGCGGCCGGAATGCTCAGTGTGATCGCCGCCCAAGTGTGTTACCTGTTTGGCTACCTGTCAAAGATCTGTTCACAAATTAAGTATAATGATTAGAACATATGTAGCTTGCTCTCTCTGCAGAAAACCGGCTTCACGAAAGCCTCAAGTGCATTCTCTGGTAGTTGAAGCGATGAACGTCTCCTTCGAGGTTGCATCCGAAAAGCGAAGTGTCGCGATCCTAAAGAAGACAGCCACATTGTAGAAACGTTGGCAAGGATTTTTCACAGCTTGAAAATTCCATCTTTTGCTGAACCTTATGTGGATAGCCACTTACCAAAGCCGCCATGTCATACATAGTGTCGAGGTGCTCCCATATCGTCTGCGAAGATATGTCTTTGTTTAGAGATGCGCTGAATTTCTCGAGGATGCACGCCATATGAAAGTACCTGTTGACACCTGCGCAACGCAAGAAAACGGAAGAGTCACCTTGCTCTTCGTGACGGAGAGCTACTTCCTAAGCTGCAGAGCAGTATGAGAGCAATACACCGCTTACCTACTGGTTTATGACCTTTCATTGCGTGAAACAACTGCACCTCCGTATCTACATTCCAATCGAAATTCTCGGCTGGCTTTCCGGAACTAGAAGCCATGTACCAGCGCCAGGTGGTCTGTTACGGAAAACGTGTAGTTAGTACTCACACTATGAACCCAAACGCCATCCGCGTGCGCGGTTTTTCTGTAAATGCCAGCGCATAGCCTCCTCAACGCCTTTTAGATTTCTTATGCCTGCCGGATAAGCGCGAAACGCCGGTCATCTAAGGCGGCGCTGCCTACGTAGGAATAAGGTTTTTATACTTGGCCTTTGAGATCGGCAATTTTGACGTTTGTTACTAACTTCGGAGGATGCCTTGTATTAAAAAAGTTGTTTTTTGATTGACGGCGTCACTTACGTATAGTTAATTAAAATTACGTTTACGCCTTTTTAGAACCTTTCTACGCTATTTTGTTGCATATAAGCTTCAAAAACGTAAAAACCTATTTGAAGACACCCCTAATTGAGTGGCGCCACTACCATAGTTCTGACGACCACCGCTTCCCAAATGACCACCGATAATCCGGCAGGCACAGGAGATCTAGGAGGCGTTGGCCTCCTCTAAACCTTCAGTGCCCCTCAAATTCTCCCTCGGTGACCGTCATCCTTCCCTCTCAGCCATTGAGTTTCTCAAAATTAACTAGAGGGCACTCTAGCGCTGCGATCGTTACGGCTTGGTGGCGCTGGCCACCGCCCGATCTAAAGGGTACAGGCATATTCATCCATCCATCTATCCGTTCAGCGACTATGGGAATGATGGGTAGTACACACATTTGCCTAGTCTTCGTATTTGCGGGCGGCGAATCGTACTTGCGGCTTCGTTTATTGCTGTGTTTCGGTTTTGTTTTGAACGAAAGATTGAACCCTTTTGAACTTCGTGAGCCAATTTGGAAAGTAAGTTTTAAAAAATAAAATGGTGAAGCGCAACCGCTAAGCATTTGCTAATACTTGTTTCTTAAGAAAACAGCTCCAAGCTCACGAACACACACGGAGCCAAAGGCAGGCCAGAAGTACGAAGATGGCATTTCCAAGCTTGCAAATGCCAGTACTAAGGAGATGGCATCTACGATTGTTCAATGCTGGAGGGATCTAAAAAAAATTCCGAATTTTCTATTCCATCTAATAAACGATCCTCCTCTCGTATATATTTGTATGCATTACATTAAGCCCCACATTTTCCTAGGCTATCGCTAATCTTTCTTTTATACCTCCATTATTCCAATTCTGAACAGTATTTTCTAAAACCACTCGATTCTTGGCCAATCCCACATAGTGGGTATGTGCCACTATGAATAGGTGAACAACAGAAACAACACGCAGCGAGCGCGTGGATCGCCAGCATCGTTCTCCGGTACAGATCGCGCCTCGAAAGTCGCCTTTGTCGGACACTCCTCCCATCGGCTGTTTATATCTGTGCAGGCTGCGTCCTCTGGGCTGTAAGCATCGGCAAAGAAGGTAGACAAATACTTTAATTAACCCGACGGAGACGCGATGAGCGTCCGAGCACTGGGAGCATAAGAGCTGCGTTATTTCTTTTATATTTTTGTGCGGATAGGGATGGAGGAAGGGGGCTGTATATTAGGTTCAGTGTTTCGTTCCTTCAAAAATATATACCGCTTTCAGTACGTTTTTGGATATTACTCCACGTTCGGTAGTTTTACTTTCTGGCTATTTCAGGTCAAGCTCCACGTCATGGTGATTCATGTGCATTAATTGTCACGTGCGAGCATTCCGAACCACGAAAGCGTACACCCCGTGACAACTTTCTATGGCAGCATAGCCAAGGCTACGAAGCATGCACTTAGCAACCGCTAACTTTATGTATCATAACGACAAACACTGAAACAAAATATATATGTTCCGTAGCACAAGGAAAAGGTGCAAACAATAATATAGGTAGTATGCTCAATATTGCTGACATCGTTATCAAGAAACAAAGCTCATTGCATGCAGCATTTTCGTTTTTTGCTGTTTATAGTAATGAAATTTTCTGTAATCATTTCTTCTTTTACTTGCCCAAGTAAGCAACAATAACGTCGCTCGGTTGCAGTGAGTTCACATCGAAGCTTGTGAGCGAGCATTAGTGCGTGTTCGTTAGGTTATCTGTATTCATCGAGACGCTAGAAACCAAGACAGTGGTGCGTCGTCAATTATCTCGTTCCCCCCATGTGCGGCAACCATCAAAGAAGCGGTTTGTGAGTGATACTATTTGTTAAAGTGGGTTTCAGAACGCGATAGCCACCTTGAAAGTGACCCACGCAACCTGACAGCCTTCAGGGAATCCAGCTGTTTTAACGTCTTCGCTACCGGCCTCCACGTATGTGGACGTTTACATTTGAACGCTGTGCCGCGACAATAGCATTATTAAAGAATTCAAATTTGGCGCTTTTCAAAACTACCTTCATAGTTTTTACAATAGCAGACAGAGGGCGCCAGCAGTCAACCAAAAGCGGGTCAAATACGAAGGGGTAGACACGGTATGCAGCGCGTGTGGAGAGGAAAAAGAAACTGCCGAACACTTGACAATGTTCTGTAAAGGGCTTCACCCTGTAGTTCAGGATGATGGCGCAGAATTTTTCAAAGTACTGGGGTTTAGGGACAGTGAGGGCAAAATAGACTTCAAGCGGGTAGAATTATCTAGAAGGAGGTTATCTGATTGGTGGCTAAAGTCAAAGCACGGGTAAAAATTAAACCCTTCGCTGCAAAGTACGTATTCTCAACCTCACTATATAAGGGAAAAAAATCTAATTTTTTATAATTAAGTATTACGGCTTAGTGGCGCTAGCCACCACACAATTTAAAGGGGTGCAGCCATACCCATTCGTCCCATTCATCCATCCAGCGCCGTGACCAACAGGTGTAATGGCGGCGCCCAGCACCAGCAATACGCAGTGAAGGAGAGGTACGTTTTTGGCTATTATTCAGTATTTTGTAAACATTACATAATAATTTCTCCTCACATATTGAATATACGCTCCGCGGAAGCGTAACAAAGCGTTAGTTCTACGGTGTTCACAACTACTGATTTCCGATAAGCGTCGATGCGATGGGCCACGTTTGTGGACATAAGTTGTAAACGGGGGTACTGCTTCCCGGGTATGCGCTCAACAGCTAGGTTCCTGACCGATGAAGAGATCGTTGCCATGCTAGAAGAAAGTGATGCGGGCCTCTCGGACTCAGAATACGAAGAAGAATGGCCATCTTCACCACTTGCAAGTGATGCAGAGTTTTCAGGCGACTCTGAAGATGAACCTGAACCGGATATTGCCCAGTGACCTACGAAAAACAAAAAGAAGAAACGTTCCTGGACCTCGCGAGCGTAAGTGTTTCTGACATTTTTTCCGTCGGTTCGTTAAAATTAAATATTCGTTTCGCTGTTACAGATTTGCAAGAGGGACGGTCCTGACAACGACAACCAAGACGATGATTTCCGGGAGTTTCTGACGCCGCACGAGTACTTTGAAAAATATTTTCCTTTGAACTTTTGGAAGGAAGCTGTTGAGCAAACAAATTTGTTTTCGGTTCAGAAACGAAACTACTGTTCTGTACAAACCAGTGCACTTGAAGTAAGAAAGCTTACCCGCTGATGGGGATTATGCACCTTCCCCAAGTCCAGCTCTACTGGTTTCGAGGAACAAGGAAACCATCTGTACTGGACCACATGACAAGGAACAGATTTTACGAGCTGCGTAATCACCTGCACTTTGTCGACACTTCAGCAACTACAGCACGCCAAAAGGGAGACAAGCTTCACCTTGTTCGACCAATAGTAGATTGCTTCCAAGCCGCCTGCCGAGCACTTCCCCGCTCAACAGAACTGTTGATCGACGAACAGATGACCCCATTTTCAGGAAGATGTGGATTCAGGCAGTATCTCCCATCTAAACCGAATCCACTCGGTCTCAAGAATTCCGTTTTAGCTTCCCCTGATGGTCCAGTCCTTGACTTTGTTGTTTACACCGGGAAGAATACTGTAGACGCTGACGACTCAAAATTGTATGGCCTTGGGCGAGCAGTGGTCAAGAAGCTAGCAACAACCATAACGGATGACCGAGCACACACCTTCACTGACAGGTATTTTACAGGCCTGCAAATCATGGACCACCTTCTAGAAAGAACAGTGTTTCTCACTGGGACAGTCAATGCAAACCGTACAAAGGGCGCGGCTGCAAACCTTCCAAGCGACAAAGCAATGAAGCGGGGTGACGGTGCTTGCCTTGTGCGAGATGATGGAGAAGTGTGTGTTGTGAAGTGGAAAGATAATAAAAGTGTTCTTTTGATGTCAAGTGCCGTTGGGTGCGACCCCGTCGCCACATGCATGCTGTGGTGCAAAGAAGAAGGTTCCTGTTCCCCAGCCAGCTATTGTTGGTCATTACAACAAGTTCATGGGTGGTCTGGACTTGGTCGACCGATATGTGCCGTACTATCGGATAAACATCAAAACAAGAAAGTGGACGGTGAGGTTTTTCACTCACTTTCTAGACCTTGCCGTATGCAATTCATGGATCTTGTATCAGCGTGACGCCCAAGCCATGCGCATACCAAAAAAGGAAGTGCTTAGCCAGCTGTGGTTCAAGCAAGACATCGCCGAGACACTAATAAGGGTAAACTCTATGCACAACCGTAAGGAATAGAGTGATCCACCTGTGACTGACTACTCAAGGCCTGTGCAACTGCCAAACCTTGACACATGGCGTGACCGCTTTGATCACTTTCCCGAATTCTGCAGCCTAAAAAATGCAAGGCGGTGCAGAAATGAAAACTGCAAAGGGAAGACAAAAAATAAGTGCACGAAATGCAATGTTTTCCTATGTCTGCAAGGCAAAAATTGCTTCGTCAAGTTCCACGACACTGGCAACTGATGTCCCCATATGTGGACTCCCTTTTGACATTGTTCAAAACGAATGTCCACAAGTGTAAACATTGTAGAATTACTTCAAATAATGGGAATTTTTTCGTTGTTTTTTGTTATAGACTAAGACTGAAGTATTCAATAAAGCTTTGTAAAAAATGTTTTCTTCATTCCTTCTTAGGCCTGGTAGTGAAGAGGTTAAAGCAAAACCACGGTCGGAAACAGTGGGTAAAAGTAATGACTCTTTTCATAAAGTGCCTTGTGTACGTGTCAATATTTTGGTTGTCTACCATTGCTGATATAATCCCGCTAGAGCTAACGTACTGTCCCACGGTAGCCGACGGCGGGAGTAGTTCTTGGCGTTCTGCGATGACGGCAGTTATCCAGGAAGAACTCACCAGGGCAAAGCTCCCCCTGGGCAACAGCTGTCCCACCCACGTGGAGCTAGTATAATAATATGGCTAACATGCGAATGACTGCAAGCACAGCGTTCTTGACCACGTAAGGAGTGTTTTTACTCGCTTGTATTTACAAACGTCAGACGCCCATGGCACTGCATATCCGCTCATGACCCGCCAATCAAAACCTCGCGTGCCTACTAAAAACTTCGCGTTTCCAAAATAAGGAGAACAACGATACCGACCCAGTGTTCACCTAAATTTAGGACATGGTTTGTTGAAATTGCGTTGCATTTGCTATCAAACAGTTTCTGCCCGACCATGCCCTTTTGCCGCTGGCGCACTACCGCTAAAACGAAATTGACAGAGGAGCAGAGCATATATTTTAGGTACTTTTACTCTCACTGGTGCGTCTATGAGTACCTGAAGGCTTGTAATGGCTTCCGATTGAAGCTATATATACAATATTGCCCGAGTTCGACATTCGCAGAAGACGCGTGCAACAGTTTGTGTTCGTGAAAGCCGCCACACAATTGGCAAAAAAACTGCGCCATGGAACGCCGTCCTGCACGAGTCACGATGCCTCGCCACGGAACTGGCACGAGACTCGAGGTGTGAAAACGAAGTTCGAGATAACGAGCAAGGGACAATTCGGCCGGCCATCTATTTTAAATGCGGAGCTTTTCTTAGCGAACTTCGGTGACTTTGAGCGTATCTATCTCTTTATCCAGCCGCCTACGACTCTTAGCTCTCCCGGCCGTGTCAATTATGGTATCGATATCAAACTTGGTATAGCATAACATGACTGTATGAAGAACATATTTGACTAGTCATTGCATGAATGTCAGGATTTACATTTGATAGTCCTACAGCTCTTGCGGTAGTTTCGTTCACATTATATGTTGCAAAGCTGGTATAGTATGGCACGATTGCATGGCGAACACAAGTGACAGACTCTAACATGAAAATCATGACATGCGTGTCATGTAACAACATGCCATGCTCATGATGCACTTGCGGCTGTTTTGCTTGCATCACATATATCAAATTTGGTTTTACGGTACGTGAATGGATGACGAAGGTATGAAAATGGTGTGAATGTGATAAACATCAGATGTGTGTCATGTAACAACATGAATACATGCTACGCTTATAATGCTCTCGCGGTCATTTCACTAACTTCACACATGTACCAACTCAGTATCACGCGACGCGAATGGACGACATAGGTAAATGACACATACAAACATGATAATCACGACATGCGTGTTATGTAACAACGTCACTACATGCCACACCCAAGATACGCTCGGGGCCGTTTCGCTAGCTTCACATATGCCAAATTTGGTATTACGTGACGCGAATGGATGAAGAAGCTATGTACTGGTGCAAACATGATAATTATGAGATGCGTGTCATGTGAAAGCATGACTGAATGCCACAGTGACGGCGCCAATACATTTCGACGTGATGCCGTGCGCATAGACACCGTTCAGTCGAGTTTTTCAGTCTGACTGCAGCGCCAGAACACATAGTCTAGCGGATAAAAAAGCAACTTTGAGATGGCTTCAGTGTAAATGGAATGCAACGCGCGCGTCTCGCGGCCTGCATGAAATTTCCGGAGCCCTCCACTACGACGTCTCTCATAATTATATGGTGGTTTTGGGACGTTAAACCACACACATCATCGGGGCCTGCATCTGTCGGTGAATTGAGGCTGGGATACATGGAAGACGCGCGCATGTGTCCATTTTCTGCGTCCCCGAACGGCGAATGTAAAAGACTGCGACGGAGCAATGTGAGCAACGCAACTCGCCCTCGTCAGTGTTTGGTGCCTATGCTCGCCGGGGTTGCCACGCCAGGCGCCAGACCTACCATATACTCGCAGGCGCATGCCGCGTTGTGTTGCCTTGACGCATGTGCGTTGCAGTGCGTCCGGCATTCCTCCATCACGATAAGAGTAAGACGCAGTGTTGTCTGGGTAAGGCATCAGGGCGAAATACAGCATGTCGTATTTCGCGCCGTTTGCCGTCGGGCCGCGCCGACAGACTATAGAGTGCTCACGTTTTGCTAACGTAGCGTCACTGCGCCCAGCGTGCGTGCGCGTCAATGCTACATTGGAGTATGTTGGGCCCTTTTTGATGCGCTCACGGCCATTTTGCTAGCTCCACATATACCGAACTAGGTGTTACGTGACGTCAATGGATGACGAAATATATGACTGGTGCGAACATAATCCTTACACGCCTGTCATGTAAGAACATGACAACATACCACGTTCATAGCATGCTCGCGGCCGTTTCACTAGCTACACACATACTAAATTTGGTATCACGTGACGTTAATAGATGACGAAGGTAAACGACACATCAAAACATTATAATCATGACACGTGAGTCGTATACAGCATCATTTACATCCACCTAGTAACATTGTGCTGATTTTAAAGTGACATATCAACATTTCTCATTCTTACTTAGTATATCATCGATTCGCACTGTACGTGGGATCTGCCAAATTTTTTCCAGTTTACGGGCACAACCTTGCCCTCAATAAATAGTGTTTATAGTAGCAGTCACTCTATTTATTGGTAACAACATTTTGAAACACTGTCCCAGAATGACATCAAAAACATTGAATTGTCATGCAAAAATGTACATTTTGGGTGCGCTTGTGAAACAAAATACGCACACAGATGGACTACTTAGCGTTGTAACACATGTGCAGAGGCTCCATCGAAGTAGCCTAGGCTGTGCTGCCAGGGAAAGTTCTCGTGAGGTTTTTTTATACCACATGATGCGCGTTAACTTTCTTCTTAGCTGCCATGGGCTTGCATGCTAGGAACAAGACGGAGCAGAGAATTTCTTTCATATTTCATGGACATATAGTTACTGCCTATTCATGCAAGCTCAAAACTTGCCACGTGCAGGATCCGAACCTGTGACCAACGCGTTTGATGCTTTATATACTACTGACTACTACTGAGCTGCAGTGGCAGTTTTCCCTCATACACTATATATATATATGTGTGTGTGTGTTTGTGTGTGTGTGTATCCATGTGTGGTAGTAATAGTATTTCGAACATAGTCGACTTGAACACTTTTAAGCTAATTCGCAGAAAAGGGTATTTCGTTTAGAAAAAAAACGCGCATCTCCATTAAGTGAACCATGACGAGTGCACAAAACTAGGATCTAGGCTTCATGATTTCTACGTTGAAGTCACCGACTAGTATAAAAATGAGCTTTGGGCTGTTCAATATTTCTCTGTCGCAATTGTGATTGATAATATTGTTAAACCATTTTTTGTGTGTTTGACAAGCGACATAACGAGTCGACGAGAAAGCTCAGTGCTAAGTGTACCAAAACTGTGATGAGTGGGAGCCAGTAACAACTTCTTTCCTTCATACAATGAATGCGTACATAGGTATAGCACGCTGCATGATAATCACGTCTGGTCATTATCTAAGGTTAGTTTCATTGGCGGTGTTTCTTGCACACGCATGGCTTGCAAGCATTTCTCGGTCGATTTTCCAGGGGAAAAGAAAACAACAACAAATTAAGTAACATGAAAGTTACTATCATAGCGTACTCGATCCGTTTGTGTCTGTGGTGCAGATCTGTGTAGCTGACTGATTGTGCCTTGCTGAGGAACTGAATCTTGGTTCTGCGGTTGCTCCATTGATTACCCGGACTTCACGTCCTCACTCTGCTCAAGCTGAGGAATTTCTGACTCGGTAAGACTACCACTTTCATTGTTCGATAAGCACTCACTTTCGAATTTCTCAATATTCTGCTCACCTGTCCTTAGAATGTGACGCCGGTTTTGTTTAAACCTTCTACCATTCCCCGTAGCTGCCTTGTAAGATCTGGGTGCGACACGTTTTAGCCCTTGCGCCTTCCTGGTCCATGCCTTGTCTTTGACCCGTACAACTTCGCCTTTCTTGAGTGCTGGTAAACATCTGCCCCGAGCATCCCGCTGTTTGTGTTAAGTGACGGGAATGCTTGAGTGGTGACTGATCTCTGAAAGTTTCGTGCATAGGCCTTGGAGGACTTCACCAGGGGAACGGCCATCTTCGAGGGGCGAAGAAGGATAGCTCAGTAGCCCAAGCCAGAAGTGACGTTTCTTTTCCGCAGTACTCATGATTCCTTTTGGAATTTTAACGCTGCTGTCAGCAAGGCCGTTTTGGACAAATAAAATCCGGGGCTAGACGTCCCATGCTGGATATTGTACCTGGAGGCAAAACATGTAAATTCAAGGGATGAGAAGGACGGTCCATTGTCGCTGAAAACTGCTGCTGGGATACCATACCTAGAAAATTTGGCGCCCATCTTTTTCATTACAGATACTCTAATGACTTCTGCGAAATTGCACAAAGCATCTAATACACAAAGGACCTTCCACCTTGCTGGAAGACGTCGACTCCAACTTTGTACCACTACACATTCTGATATGCGGCTCAAACTGGCGGCTCTCAATGCTGCGCATAAGCATACTTGCGGCAGCCTGTACGGCACAATAGCAGCTTCTCGATGTCTACGTTAAAGCCTGGCGAGTGAACCAAACGTCGAGCATTTGTTTTGGCCTTCTTCCAACCCAAGTGTCCTTCATAAATGCGGTCAAGTGTTTTTGACCTCATTGAGTTCAAAATAACCACTTTAGATCTCTTGAATACTATACCGGGTAAGAGTGATAAGTCGGATGTGAACGATTTCAATGAGCCCTCCAGCTCTCCTTAGCCGTATATGTAAATAAGATTTCAAAAGTCGGGATCAGCTGCAGTCTTTTTAACCAAGTGACGCATGATCTTTTTGCTTACCAACTCGGACACAATTCTCGTTGCATACACTTCCACGTCGTCGTTGAATGCAAAATCCCCTGCGGCCCTAAGTGACGCTCTGGACAGCATGTCTTCAGGAGCAGCTGCTTACCTGGCACGAAGTGAAGATCAAAGTCATAGGTGAGCAGTTGCAGAAAGAAATGCTAAAGGCACTGAGGCATTTCCCCAGTAGGTTTTGTAGCAATGTCAATGAACGGATGATGGTCAGTTTCAATCACAATCTTGCGTCCAAAATCACTGGTGAAACTTTTCGCATTCGTTGGTATTTACAAACTCTTCTTTCTCATTCTGAAAGCATCCTTCTTATGCAACACTCAGAGCGCGAAATGCATGATCAAGTGGCCGCCAAGCGTAACCGTAACGCTGCAAAGTATCTGCTCCTAGCCCTCATTTAGAAGCATTTGCAGACATTTTTGTATCACTGGGCGCGTCAAAGATGGCGAGCAGTGGTGGTTTGCTAAAATTCTCGCAAAAAACTGCCTGCTCGCTCACATGGTGCTCTCTTCATTAGAAAATGATGCGTTTATTCAAAAGGCTGTGCAGCAGGTTTGTCTTATCTGCCAGGCTGGGTTTGAATATGCCAAAGTATTTCGTCACGCCTAGCATTCGGTGTTCAGCCGCCTTGTGTCCCGAGTAAGGTAAATGGCCCAGTGACATGCTCAACAAAGGGCTTTGTTTTATGCCCTTTTTTACATGTGACGTCACCCAAGAAAAATAATTTCAGTCAGCCTGAAAAATAATTTATCAGCATTGAACATCGAACGAGCCTTTTTGGATGACTGCAAAGCATAATAGACGAATGCATCATGTTAATTTTTAGTGGCTCCATATATTAGGACACCGTCAACCTACACGTCGTTAGGTTGATTGATATGTGGGGTTTGACGTCCCAAAAGCACCATAAGATCACGAGAAACCCCGTAGTGGAGGGATTCGGAAATTTAGGCCATCTGGGGTTGTTTAACGGGCACGCAAATCTGAGCACACGGGCCAACAACATTTTCTCCTCCATCGGAAATACAGTCGCCGCAGCCTTCTGCATCATGAAATGTGCAATGCTTGTAAGCACAAGCCAAGCATGCAAAGCCTGCATGAAAGCAACCTTTTGCAGAGGCTACATGATGATCTCCAGTAAATTTCCTAGTAGCTGACGTGAACGGCTGCAGAAAACTATAGACAAAAAAACATAGACAGTGCTACTTTCAGACAGTGCTTTAAATTCAGGAAACTAGAGTGCACTTATTCACTCGGTTGACGAGTCACAGCCACGAGATCTGCGAACGAAGCAATATATCTTAAAGCATGCACAGATATTCTAATTCTTTGTCCGACAGTGGCACAGATAGCTTGCCAATACACATATATCTGAGCGCAACAATATGTCAATCTTTCAATAGCTCGAAATCTTGTTGGTTCACAGTCGAACAGATTACTGCCCTTTTGGACAAATTGGAATAAGTGCACCAAGGTTTCCAAAAAAATGCATCATTAGAAGTTAGCGCCTGCTGTGAATGTCTGCCTATATATTTAGTACTGCCTTCTACATGTGCCACAAAGGCATTTGTTGAGGTTGTGCTACTATTCAAGCCCACATTGCCTACTTGGCCATCGTGATGTAAATGCAAACATGAGGAACACTGCCACCTATAGTAACAGCATAACACTTCAGGAACTTAGAACAGCAGAGAGGTTCACAAGAAAGTTAAGCACACACTTGCAGAACTTTAAATGAGAATTTTTCAGATTTGGAGATGTCGACATGCAGTGGCACTTTTAAACCCACGATACATGTGCAGAAAACGGGGTAAAGGCGAGTCATGAAACGCTGTTATGAAGGCCTGCGCACAAACAGCTTTGTGAATCTAGGCCCTTCGTGTTTTTTTTTGCAAGCGTAAACTCGTATAAATAAGGAAAACGTACCTTTAGTAGCACCAGTGTAAACAAGTCTTCGCAGTTGGCTTTTTAGCACAAACAGCAATCCCTGCAATGAAAACATAGACATTTTATCTCAACGGTAACAGTGTAAGCACACACACAGGCACGCGTAGCCATGTCCAATTGTCAGTGCCAGTGTAACCATGTGGCATGATACACTATTTGCTGGCCAAGGCATGTGCAGTTTGCCCCCCATAAAATGATACTTTCGTATATGTAACACGTACAATAAGTCTGCACTTACCACAATTTATTTATTTATTTATTTACAAAATACTGCAGACCCATTTAAGGGCCCCAGAAGGAGGGGCAAAGATCATAACATTGCAAACGGGTGTAAACAGCAAGAACAAAAAGATACATCATATACAAAAAATACATAAACATAGGTCTGTGTTAAATACGCTCAAGTGCCTCTACAGAGCTGGTTAACGATTCAGGTAGGCAGTTCCAGTCGTTTATGGTTCGAGGAAAGAACGAGTATTTGAAAATGTTTGTTCTGGCGAAATATGGTGTTAATGAATGAGTTTGTCGATGCCAGGTTTGTCTTGTCGTAAGTGGTTTCAAATACATATCACGGTTTACTGACAGCTTGTTGTTATTTAAAAGAAAAAGAAATTTGAGCCTGTGAATTTTACGACGTTTTTCAAGTGTGGGTATACTGTTTTCTTTCATAAGGTTTGTGGGGAAATCAGTTTTTCGGTACTTGGAGTAAATGAAACGTAGCGCTTTGCGTTGGATTAGTTCGAGAGCCTCAATGTTTCTTTTTGTGTATGGGTCCCAGACGATTGAGGCATATTCCAATGAGGGGCGTATAACAGTCAAAAACACTGACTTTAGCATCATTGGAGACATCATTATCTGTAGTAAAACCAAATCTGTGTCATAGACCTGAAAAAAAGTAGTAAAGGACATGCATTAAATATTGTTTCATTTGGTAGCAGTCAAGTCTGCTAAAGAACAGCCAAGTGGCAATCAGCCTAGTGCATGCGGCAAATCCCAAACGGGGTTATCGAGGACATGAAAAGATGAAATTTTTGTCGATTGGTATTGTCGTCAAAATGTGAACCTACAGCATGTATAACCGTCTCTCACAATATTTAGTTTTGCGAAGGTTTTTTCATCACAAAAGAAATTTGAAATATTTGGATCATTTTTCCTCAGGCACAGGAATTATTACAATTAAAAACTTTTTAAATTCTGCAATAATAATACTCAAACAAATATAATAATTTGTTTAGTTTTATGAAGGTTAGTACAAACGGCATCGAAATAGTTCTTGTGGCTGGAGGCCACGTTAGAAGTACCGAGAGAGAGTATGGTTGTTCTGTCCATATGCAAAGTGCTCGTTTGATGGTGGCCTTATAAAATAATATGCTCAGCGTGGACGTGAAGCAAGTGACGCAGTGGTGTAGGTAGTTTTTTTTTAAGCGTGCGGAGGGGGGGGGGGGGGGGGTCCGTTCATCTGAATTAGAGGTCGGGCATGCAAACATGGTCAAATGTCATATTGTAGTATTGGGCTCCCTATGCCCGGCCTAGAAGTACGTTTGGAGATACGGTAGGGGGGGGAGGGGGTGTGTGTGGAGCACGGGTTTCATGTGCCACCGCCTGGCTATGACACCGAAGTGATGCGAAAATAATTCGTTGACTTACTCGTCTATATACACTACAGCTCTAAAAAAATGCGGCCGAAGGCCTCGACACCCAGCCGTTAACGTTACATAAAGCCAATGAGAGACAAGTACCAGTGTCAAGGCAGCTACAACCCGGCCCCAATGTTATACCAGGTATTACTGCGGAAAGTAACGTTTAATAGCAAAAGTACACTGGCACTACAGTGCTGGCAAAGGCAGCAAGAGGGTATGCCGGAGGTAATAAAGTGGTAGTATCGGTAGTATTTAAAGGTAGTATTTCAAGACTCTGCTTGTCTAATTACATCAGAACGGGGGACCACCACAGAG